TATTTTGGAAGCAAAAAAAAATATTACCAGCAATATATTTTTGGAAGCAAAAAAAAAAATATTACCAGCAATATATTTTTGGAAGCAAAAAAAAAAATATTACCAGCAATATATTTTTGGAAGCAAAAAAAAATATTACCAGCATGACATGTTTTAAAATAATATTACCAGCATTAGATTTTTGACAAAACAAAATATTACCAGAAAAATATTTGTCGGCATTAAATATCCCATTGAGACTGATATACCGTAAAACACCAAACCAAGCCATTGTTTGATCATTGTGGACTGGGGATTACAGAAACATAAAGAATTAGCAAGTAACAATAACCATTACTAGTGGGGTTTACCAGAAGCTGGATAAAATGCATAATACATGTAACACGAAAAGAAAATGACGTAATCAACATGTTGCCATTACACAACTTCAGACAAAAGCTTAGGAAGCAAATCCCACATCAATAGTGGAAAGAGCGATAACAGCTACTGGACTTGAGAAAGTTGTTTTCCTAAAAATCTTGAAAGATTGAATAAAATTCAATCGAAAACAGTAATGGCTACTCGAATAATGGATGCCAAATATTTCATTGTAGTGAAACTGCTAATATTGGCATTCGTGTGTGTAAAATTTGACAGCTCACGCCAATGAAACTGCGTCTTAAAAATATATATGTAGATTATCAGAAAAAAAATCTACGTTAGTGAAACAAATCGCGATTTATTTAAAGCGGCTGATCAATTTTAACTTTAGTTGTATCGCGAAAGATATTAGAATTTAACCAATTTCAGCTCGTTTTTATTTTTCCCTTGAGCTTCCGTCGTAATCTCAGGAAAATTGCGGTACTAATTTCGTTAGAAAAAGCAATAAATTGAAATTGTCCGTTTGTCTATTAATTGGAATTGATTCAAAGATCATGATACTTCCAATGAATTTAAATACAAGCGTCATTTTGGGGGAAAGGCCAATATTCTTTGATATACAAGTTCATTAAATTTTAAATCTCGTGTTCGTATATACTTTTCATTAAATTCCATTGATGTTTTACCGGTGTTTTTTTTTCTTTTTTTTTACGGGGGGCGGGGGTCTTATTTCAATTTGTAGACACCTGTTTCTGATGTAAGGTGTGCTTTTTTTTGTTTTAAAATGGTCTTAAATTTTAAACGAATTTGAAGTTTGATTATCTATTCTAATTTCCTGACAAAACTGACGAAAAATATTTTACAAATGTTACCCAAATGTCAAAGTATGTGTTGTCAAATACTGTTTATAGAAACATCTATTCTTACAAATTGTCACCTTAGAAGTTTTCATTTTTAATATAAAACACATAGGCATGGTTCGCCTAAAAAATTCCGATGAGAAACACCTAAAAAAAGCCTTAATGTACCACGACCGAAAGGTGAGTAGTGATTTTTTTCCAAGTGTAGCTTTGATGTGGCACAAGGCCGAAAGTAAGGAGCACCCAGTGAGGCTTGAACTCTCTACTCGGTCGTAATTGTTCTAGCGAGACAAGCTAGCTAACCATTACACCACCTCGAGGTGTCCAACCGAAAGGTGAGTACGCCAATACTGATGAACATGCTTGTCTGAAAAAGCAAAGAATCATTTCTCAAATTACGCCATGTTATATGCACATTCATTAAAACTGCATCTTCTTCGTGTCCCTTCAGTTTTTGGGAGATTATGTCTCTCCCCAATTTCTCGTACAGCACTTCGTTTCACTTTATCATCTCTTCTGCTCTCTGTTTTTATATTAATTAAAAAAAAATACGCTCGTTAAGCAGGTGAAACGTTCTTCCCACTTGATCCCTTTTATCTCTTGTGAGTTTCCAAGCCTTTCTTTCCTCCTATTTTGTCTACGTGATTTCAGATTTGTTTCTGACACAGTGTGTCTTTTTGGGGGTCTGAATTTCTGAGATTAGGAATTATCATTATTTACAGATTATTTTCCTCAACTTTCTTGCTGCTACCACAAGATTTCGCCCGTTGTGCTCTCCAGTCTTCACCAGGTTGATGACAACCAGAATAACCCGCAGGGATCATTATACACCTGAAGAAAGTTTGGAATAATAAAGATGAGGACAAAAGGAAATAATGTGGAGGCGGCGGGTTTTTCTCATTCCCCCCCCCTTTTCTTTTTGTTTTTTGTCCTTTTTGGTTTTCTCTTGTATTGGTGGGGTTTTTGTTTGTGTTTTTTTTGGTTGGTTGTTTTTGTGGAAGTTTTTCTTTTTTGTGTTGTGGCCGGGGTTGTTTGTCTGTCTGTGTTGTGGCCGGGGTTGTTTGTCTGTCTGTGTTGTGGCCGGGGTTGTTTGTCTGTCTGTGTTGTGGCCGGGGTTGTTTGTCTGTCTGTGTTGTGTATTTTTTGAGGGAGTTCGTGCCTTTGTCTGTGTGTTGTGTATTTTTTTGAGGGAGATCGTGCCTCAGACTCTCGCCTTTGTTCAAAACACTATAAAAACAAGTTCCGGTTCAATCCCCGACGTTAAGCATCGTCAAGCTCAGTCAGTACTTCGATGTGGACTGCTTGGGAACGCTGGGTACGATATAATATGGTCAGTTATTGGACGAAGTGCCTCATGGGTGTAGTATTCTGATAGATTGTCTCGGTTTTGGATACAAGTCCAAAACCGCGCACATATTCTGAAGCGTCGATACGCCTTCCACACTCAGGCTAGCTACCGGCTAAAGCCGCGGAAGAATACTGAACCAACGTACGACATGCGTTCCTGTGACGTCATTCGTCTAACTGCCTCTTAGTGATTTTCTAAGCTCTGCTTAGATGTGGCACAAGGCTGGAAGTATGGAGCACCCAGTGAGGATCGAACTCGCTACTCAGTCGTAATTGTTCTAGCGAGACAAGCTGGCTAACCATTACACGACGCCGAGATACCCTAACTGCCTCTTAGAAGCTAAGCTGTCACCACTCTTACCTTTATATAGCGAATGAGAAAAAGAAATGGTCCCTTTTGTTGATACCATTTTTTTTCTAGTAGGGTGGGGACCCAGAGACTACACAGAACGCAATCTTATGTGTTGCTTTTCTCTGTCCCTCTCGTGTGTCCCAGAGATCTGGGCCGTCTCTTCCTGGTGTTAAGTATTAGTTTGCCTTTTGTTCACATTTTCTCTAAAATTTATTCGTGGTTCACATGTTCAGGCCATGATATGCTCAGCATCTTTCTGTAGAGCCACATTTTTGTTGCTTCAAATCATCTCTTTATCTTTGACCGTCCAATACTCTCTGCCCTACAGGACATATCACAGAGTTGTTTCCTTGTTTCTAGCGAATTTTTTATCATTACTTCCAAAAATAATATTTTTACAATCTAGAAATATATTCTGGCTTTAAATAACCTACAAATGTTTAAACCATAGAAAATCAATATTTCTTCGTCTCTTCCTCTGTGAGGGAATTGCTCAGCATTCACTGACATATAGGAAGGTTGTTATTTCAGTTTTTGGAAAGTTTTATTCGCTATTCTAAAGCACGTCGGGAGACTGAACACAATGATTAAAATTTATTCAGAACCGAGATACGCTACTAATGTACATGAATAAACCGAATCACGGGGTTAAATTTTTACCACTGGCTTGTCGAAGTCCAGTTATAGTAAGGACAGTCTCAAGTACGATGACTGGCAAGAATAATTTTAGAAAGAATTGTGCCCTTTCTTTGATGGAAATAAATAGACGGAAGCTGTCTGTAGTTGTACACAAAGAGATTTTGGTTTTTAAGTGCCATGTAGAATGAAGTAAGTTTTTATTGCACCGACTGCTATAAAAAGAAATCTAAAGTTGGACCAGGCGATTATTATGCTTTTTATGGATAAACGCTCGAAAAGATACCAATATATTGGCGATGTAGTTCAGTCAATAATAAAAATTGCATTTATAGCTTGTAGGAAGAATTTGCACTCTTGCAATGAAGGCATCTTAGATGAATTTTTCGGAAAATATTATTGCACAGGCCTATATTAAACATTAATGTTATTGCAAAAGTCTATATTAAACATTAACATCGAACATGTATTTTCTAATTTTACAAATTATTTTTATTAAAAGAAAAAAAAAACTTATTTAAATGTTTATGAATTCAATGCGTTACAAATTAAATGCTACAGAAATATCCTCGGCATCTTCTATATTGACAATATGAAAAACGACCCAGTGAGAGACGCCATCGAACACGAAAGAGGCCCGTTGGAAGACCTCGATCTCTCTCGATCTCTCTCTCGATCTCTCTCGATCTCTCTCTCGATCTCTCTCTCGATCTCTCGATCTCTCTCTCGATCTCTCGATCTCTCTCTCGATCTCTCTCTCGATCTCTCGATCTCTCTCTCGATCTCTCTCTCGATCTCTCGATCTCTCTCTCGATCTCTCGATCTCTCTCTCGATCTCTCGATCTCTCTCTCGATCTCTCGATCTCTCTCTCGATCTCTCTCTCAGGTGTACGGCAAGATCACATTGAAACACCGGTTAGCGTAACATCACCGATGTTAAGCAATGTCGAATCTGGTCAATACTTAGCTGGTGACCGCTTGGGAATACCATCTGCTGTAAGCTTGAATGTGCAGGTGGTGTAATTGATAACTGATCGGAATTCTTAATCAGCGCGCAGTGTTCCAATTTTAGTTGGGTTCGAAGAATTCCTTTAAGAGCAAATACAATTGGGAATGGTATGAAGCCACATCTTTTCTCCAGCTATGAGTTAATTGGTAAGATTCCTTATTAGTATTTCAATAAAAAAATCTTAAAATCAACAATATGACCTGGCTTAACTTGCAGAGAGTTAATAATCCGTAGAAAAACGAATCTGTCAATCAATTGAATCGTGTTGGGAAGCACCAATTGAGCAGGAACGATCAATAATCAATATCACAGGGACACAATCTATGATCCCTCTGACGATGACCAGAGGGTACTTGTTCGAAAGATTTTGTCCATAATATCTATATCAATCAAGTTTTTGACATATGGCATCATTACATCCCTTACTAGAACGAAGCCTGCGGCCATATAGCATTGAAACACTGGTTCTCGTCGGATTTTCGAAGTTAAGCAACACCGAACCTGGTCAGTAAGTAGATGGCTGACCGCTTGGAAATATCAGTTGCTGTAAACTTTGATGTACATGTAGTGTATTGGATAATGGATCGGAATTGTTAATCGGAGAGTAGTTTTATTAGAAATTAAATGTTACAGAAACATCGCCGGTATCACAAACGACGCAGTGAGACATACCATCAATTTTGTTTAGTAAATAACACAGATTTTCGCGAGTCGACTGGGGCGCAAGGATTTTCGCGAGTCGACTGGGGCGCAAGGATAAATAAATTTTGGTAGTAAATAACAGCATTGTTCGTGTTAGGGAATCGTATGATCCAGATCTTCCTGTGTTATGGACTCATCGAAGTTATAGAAGTTTATGGTCATTTTTAAAACATATTTTTAAATACAATATTACCTCCCCTTTTTCTTATTTAAAATACATAGTAATTTAAACGATTGCCAAGTGTAACTTATAGCGACGAGAAACGAATAAGCTACATCTCCAGTTATGCTTTACATTCTACCACAATTTAAGAAGAGCGTACCCGTGCAGTACCTTGATAATAATGGTCACATGGGAACAGAGAAGACGTTCCATGCTAACAAACGGAAATATGTCAGGCCATGTCTGTTTAGAGATGTAGAATTTATAGGGAAGTGTATACCCTTCCAAACGAGAAATTTGCGAAGACTCTAACCCCGTATGCAGGAGTACGATATGCCGTCTTTTCCTTTCGCTATGATAGTCTTGGCTATTTCTTGACCTTACCCACAGATGCTATCAGGAAATCAATACACCTTTGCTTTCAATGGTATGTACTCTGGTTGGCCCGAAGAATTTACTGTAACAAAGAAAGTTCAGACGATCGCTCATTTAGTAGTTGATGAATTATTCCCTAGATTTAGTGTCCCTCCTCATTTAGTAATAGATAATGGTACAGAGAATGTTAATAAATTGATGAAAGAGACGCTTGAAGATTTAAATATACACAATGTGACAACCCCGTTCTATCACCCAGAAAGCAACTGTAAAGTAGAAGGGTTGAATAGGACGATGCACGATATTTTATCAAAATAAATTAGTAATAATAGTAGATCCTGTGAGATATATATATATATATATATATATATATATATATATATTAACCAGATACTCGCGGCAATTAGGTTTAACGTTAGCGAGTCGACAAAATTCTCACCGTACAACTTTATAATAGGGACATTGTTCTCCTGCTAGATAATCTTAAAACCCCGCCGTCTTTATTATGGAGATGAACAGAGTATTGCACTACAGGAACAACACTGCGTATTTACACTAGTTAGGGATCATTTGCAGATAGCTAGGAAACTACTGAAAGAAAAGGTCTGACATTTCAACTAACGATGTAGACTTTTATATAGAGGACTTTGTCTATTATAGATACTATAATAAGCGGGGCAAATTAGATATTAGGTGCTGCCGTATTATGTAATCGTCAAGAAGATTGGTCCAGTATCTTACAAGATCAAGAATGAGTTAACTACCTCTGTTTTTTAAGGCCAATGCCGAAAACTTTAAGACAACCGGATATTCAGGAATGGATAATTCCCACTGATAACAGGCCGCTACAAATGGCAACCATAACAGCCCGGGTACTCTCTGACGAATCTGAGAACGACACAAGTAACGAAGGTAACTAGTACCTAGAAAATGAATGGAAATACCAACGGGACGATTCGGAAGATGATTCTATTATTTCAGTGATGGAACGTCATATTGTGATGCGTCCGTGAGAGCAGAATGAAATGAAATACCTTCTCAGGTTCAAATAGTAATGAGGAAAGGGAGGTATGTGCGACTAAAATCAAGCAGGATTTTCATAGGTATCAGGGTAACAACATGACGGAAGAGTTCTGACGAGGGCCATAGTAGTAGTAATTGCGATAGTAGGAATATGATAAGAGGGTGCAAAAGAGTAGACGATCCCCACAGATACGGATGTATGATAATAGCAGTAACCCCGGCTTCAGATGAACTTTCACTCTCGCAGTATTTTTGGAAAAAGGAGGAAAAAAAGGGGTGAACATATAAAAAAAAAAAAAAAATGTACTAAAAAGGGTGAGAACTGTGCAACTGGTGTTGGAAGGTCTCGTGTAATATTGACGAAAAGAGTAGGGAAAAGAAAATACAATAAAATTGTGCTCACAGAAATGTTTTAAACGAAACTACTGCCATTTAAGCTTATGTGCCGTATCCTTCAAGACATTGGCGATCATGGCTTCCCATAATTCCTTGTCCTTTGTAGCTCTTAATAACTTTTGTTTTTCTTTCCACACATAGACCATTTTTAACGTTGATTTCTGATGAAAACTGACAAAATGTTCACTTTCCAAAATTGGAAATTGAAGTTTTTGCGCTAAATGTCCTCAATATATGGTTCAAGAGCTCCTCAAGGTAGTATTTCTATGAAAATGATAATGACGAATGAGACGTGATATAAATGTTAGAGGTGGAAGTACGAAGTAAAGATAAGAGATAAAAAAAAAATGGACTCTTTCCTTCAAAATGTCATGGTTGTAAGGATCAAGAAAGCACCCCCTCGGGATTATGTTCTTCAAGGAAGTGCTAAGAGGGGAAAAATGGATGGATTGGAACACCTTTGAACATACGGAGAATTTAACCATATGAGAGGTGAAGACGTCAATCAAAACTTTTGTTTGTCAACCAGTGTTCTCCAAGGATTCTACGAGAGTAAAGATAAATAGGATAATTCATTTTGAGTAATTTGTATTTTATATTCGTTATCTTCCTGTATACGAAGGGATATCAGTTCCAGTTCTCGTTGGGTTCGTTATCATTCACTTACGCGCAAATACCCTTGAGAAACGTATAAATCCGTCTATTCTCCCCCCCCCAGTTAAGGGTTAATTAATAACACTTGTATCTGTAAACCCTTATCTCCCCAACAAATAATCTTACACGGAAAAATATTTCCTAGCTTTCAATAACCTGTTATCATAAGCTGTAGAAAACGTATTGATCAATAAAAAAAACAATTATCTTTTTTAAAAAATGTCTTTGACCGATGACTTGCGAGCATAGATTTTATTCTAGCCCTTTGTTTAAAAAATACTCTATGCCTTTCATGTTAATGGTATTAACATTATATTGCTTGAATAGCAAAAATCCTAATTTAATCAAATTAAATTTAATCAAATTAAATTTCGATTTCTACTGTTAACTTTAAACGTAACTGAAAGCAGTTACATCGCATTAAAATGCTCTTCGTAATTTCCCTTAAACTATTTGAATGTTGCATTGTATATAGAAAGCTCAAAATGTTTAAGTGATAAATTATGGGAGAGATGTTAGGGGATGAACCCCGCCACAGAACAAAAAAACACATCTCACGGTTATGTAAATATTGACCCATAGATGGTAAAGTTTAAGGGAGGGCATCTTTTGTTTTTGGTGTTGGATGTTCCAGGTTCTAAAACTTTGCAAGCCGGCCTAACCAATGCATTAAATGCTTTCTTTATAACTGAATTAGGTCTCCCACTTCGTTTACATTCAAGGCTCTCTACTCGGAGACGATATTTCTGAAAATAATTTCTATCTCGTTCTAACATTAAAAAAAAAAGCTATTCTGAAATGTCATGCAGGCGTTTTGTTGACCCTTTGTGATTTCATTTGAACTTGTATTATACGATCAGTTGATATACAGGGTGACAATAAAGTCACTTTACAGTTACTTTAAAAAAAACAAAAAAACAAAAGAACTGAAGTATGTGGCATGCAGTTCGAACAGTATCAGTAATTAATTTACTATTGTTTACCATCTCCTTTTATTGTTATTAACCAGAATTAATGAGAACCATTTTAATAGATTTCTGGAATGTTGATTAATTACTTTGTCTTACTTGTTAATGTAATAACTGTATAGTGACTTTATCGCTACCCTGTAGTTTAGCCTTATTTTCTGGAAGTTTACGAATAATTATTTATTGGTACAACAATTATAGATATAATAAAATACAGTCATCAATAATACATGCTTATCTTCTTGGGGTTACGAATAATTGTTTGTTATTAAAAAGAATTATAAATACTAGAACATAGCTATAATTTCATGCTTTTCCTATTTGAATTTTCTGATAAATCTTAATTCTTAAGTTAATGCTTGAATAAGCTCATGCTGAGTTCTCCAACAATAAAATATCCGGTGAAATTTCTCTATCACATCGTAAAATATTTGAGTTTGAACCTTCACAAAATATTGCAATAATAATCATAAATGTGAATGATTGTTATTTAAAGAATTAAGTGTGTACAAATGAAAAGATCTGAAATTGAATACTTTTCCAGCCCACAGAAACAGACGTTAAACACTTCTATCTTTATTTTTTTTTTTTTTTTTTTTTTTTTTTTTTCATTTTCTCATTGAAACCATGTATCGTCTATGTCTTTCCTCGTGATCAAAACGGAATAGTCCATTAATTATGAGGTATTGGCAGGGGGTGACGGTCGTGCTAACTAAAGGAAAGACGAGCAGAATCATATAAAATATAGGCAATTTCAATTGCTTATGTTTTTAGTCTTACGAAAAATTGCAAATTAAATATAAGCAATTATAATTGCTTTTGGCAGTTACGAAAAATTATTTGCTGTTTAAAAACATTAAAAATATAGGTTACGAATAATTATAAAAAATAAAGGCAATTATAAATGCTTCTGGAGGTTACGAATAATTATTTGTTAAAATTTAAATATAGGCAATAATTATTAAAAACATACAGGCAATTATGTTCTTCTGGTTACGAATAATTTTGAAGAAAAAATGTATATACAGGCAATTGTAATGGCATTTGGGGGTTGTGAACTATTGTTAAAAATATAAAAAATATACAAGCAATTCTAATTGTTTCTGTAGGTTATTAATAATTGTTACTGATTAAAAAATCTAGGCAATTATAATTGCCTAGATTTAATTCATGGGTGGTTACTATTAATTTTTATCGTTAATCCATAAATATAAGATATCTTATAACTGCTCCCCTTCTGGAGAGAAAAATAGCTTAAAAGATTCGTAA